CACAGTATAGACAGTAACAAACCATTTTGGGTTGTTGTTGTAGTAGTCGTTGTTGTTGTAGTTATATTCACTCCTGAGGAAGGCACGGGGTTGTGTGCTGCTATTTAACGGCCTTCCTCAGACTTTTTCTTAGATTTCAGGGTTGTGTGCTGCATTATTATTAGATAAATAAATTTAAGCATTTGACAAATCGTGATTTTATTAAAAGAAAATTATAAATGGTGTTGAAAACCCAAACAAACGCTCGTGCGAAATCTATCATCTATCAGCATCTGGAACGCAACTAATACGTGCGTATAAACGTAGTAAGTGTTGCTTAATACATCAACCATCAATGCCTTTTCATAAACTTACCTTTTCAACTAGAATTCATGCTTTTAGATGCTACTACTTACTTTTCAACAAGAAATCTTATTTGATTTCGAATATTTTGAGCGTATTTTGAATAGGAACTTATAACTTTTTTACTATCTGCAAAACTGTCGAAGGGGTCACCATCCGCAGTTTTCTGCGCTACGGGCTACAACTACAAACAAATTCTTCTTAATTTGAAAAAAAGAGGCAAAGCACAATCGCTAAAACTCACAGAATTATGAAAAAGTGGTTTGTGTTTGGATATTTTTATATGAAATTCACGCCAAACGACAATTTGGACGCCTACTTTACACAACAATTTGACAACTAAATTAGGGTTTACACCGGACATTATTGTCAAGACAATTATGTCAAAATGACGTGTTTGTTGTAAATGCGCCGTAATACATATTCTCATGAACGAAGGACACAAGATCACGCGGGAAGGAAAGAACGAAAAAAGTTATTTTCTAGCTGCCGAAATCTTGACGCCATATTTGTTGTAAGAAGTAAACAAGGAAGAGGACGGAGAAAACCGCGAAATTGTTGAACGCATGAAAAATTATTTTTATTATGCAAATTCTTCTATAAATCATGCCGTTGTGTTTAGTTATTCTTTATCTTATGTGTACACACGTTGTCACAAGCGAAAATGAAGAAAATTGCAGTAAAAAGCCACCACCAAATTGTAAACAACGAAGAAATGTAAATAAACGGCTAATGTCAAAATCGTTAAACTTTTTTCCTAAATGCGATTCTAACGGGCTACTCTCCTGCCCGCGTGATCTTGTCTTTTTGGTTCATGACATATTCTCAATTGTCTTGTCTCAAATTGTCTTATGTAAACGTAGCGTAAGGCAGATAATGTCAGCTGACTCGGTTTTACGTACCGGTAGGTTTACGTTCTTGACTAATTTCGCCTTTAATAACAAATGTCTGTTGTTGGCAACGCTTATTAAGGGCGCAATTAAAACAAACCTACTTCGCGGGCGAAGGACAAAATTAAGTTACATTGAATAAAAGGAGTTTAATTGATTTTCCAATTATGTCACGGAGGAAGCTGCCGCAAGACAATATTCCAGCCCCAACATTTTTTAGTGGAGACTCAAAACTTACAATAAATGCATTGCAGCAGTTTGCTGCCAGAAAGAAACGTTGTCTTGCGTCGCAGCCGACAGAAGAGTGTGCCAAAGTGTTTACTGTGCCTCCAGAAACTACATTGCATTCCAAAAGCTCTGAGACAAAGCAATCAATTTGGAGTCGGTTTTACACACTTGAGTGTAAGTTAAATAACGATTTGCAAAACATTTTAAAACCACCTGGTATTACTCATGTCTACAATCCTGTGGAATATGCTTCGAGTATACATTGTGCCTACTTGGAAAAGTATTTGGATGGTCCGAAACGTGTTGTGTTTGTTGGTATGAATCCAGGATCGAATGGGATGGGCCAAACTGGGGTAAAATTTATTTTTTATTATTATTTAAATTAAATTTTGTCGCAAATAAAATTGTTGATATGCGTGCTTGTTTTTAAGGTGCCGTTTGGTAATATCTTGACTGTTCGTGATGAAATGGGCTTGACAGGTTCAGTTCAGCAACCTCCTTCGATACATGCAAAGCGGCCAGTATCAGGGTTGGAGTGCAATATCGAAGAACCCAGTGGTGTGCGAATTTGGAGTTTGTTTAAAAAGTTGGCGGGTGGATCATTAAATAATTTTGCTCGCCAATGTTTTGTACATAACTTTTGTCCGTTAATTTTTTACGATGGAGCCGGACGCAATATTACTCCTAGTGAGTTAAAAGTAAGTTATTTAAATATTCTGTCCACAAAAATTTATCAAACATGTTCGTTTAAATACAGGGTGATTATAAGGCAAAAATTGGAAAAGCATGTTTAGATGTACTGGACTTGGAATTAGACTTGTTAAAAACGGAAATTTTGGTGGTGATCGGATCGTACATGCACGACATGGTAAAACGTTCTCGCCATGCGAGTAGTTTGAAAATATGTAAGCTTCCTCATCCGAGCCCCCGTTCTTTGAATAATCATAATTGGCCCGAAAAGGCCGAGAAACTTCTTTACGAATTTGATCTCATAAAATATATCGGCGATGAAGTGTAGCATTTATGCTAGTTATTCGGGTCTTTTGCTAAATCACACATTGTCCAATTTTTGGCATGCCTGCTGAAAAGAAATTATGAATCCGAATTGCACCAATGTTTATCGGACTCAATAATGACAATAACATAAATTTCACAAAATAGGCTACGATGGATTTAGCAATATTCCCTAATATATATGTACATATTAAATAATATATATTTTTTTTTGTTACAGTCGCTTTCATACAATTTCTAATTTAATTTATTGTTTGGGCTATTTATTTCTTCACCAATAATTAAATTCCATACTTACGTTCATTGTTTTCCTGAATCGGATGTTACAGTTTTCCGAAACTTGAATTGAGATTCGACTCTAATTAAACTATATTTTTCATTTTTATTTAATTTTTGCTTTAAAATTTCCATGTTTCATCAATAAACAAATTAATAAAAAAAAA